TTCATTCAGCTTCACTCATTTCCCCAGTATCTATGAGAGGAATTAAGAGACAACCCCACCAATTTCTGTGGGTGTGTGAGAGGTACAGGGGACAAGGTGACCGTAAGACACAGGGGCTGGGAACACAGTGCGCCAGCTAGGCACTGCAGGGGCTCCTCTTCTGGCCTGGCCTCTCAATGGGGCTCCAGTTCAGCCACCCAAGGCAACAGCCAGTGTGGGGTCACACCCGGAGGCCCAGAAGCCCTGTGGGCTGGCCGCTTTCCCCAAGGGGCCCATTGCTGGCCTAGAACACCTGTCATCTGCATGTTGCTCTCCTCCACACCTGGTGCCTGGAGCCCAGTTCTTCACCCAAGAAAGCATATGAGGAAGCACGATTTTAAAAGTGATATTTTTATATGGAAACCATTAGGTATGATCTTCCACTTTTAAGCACATCATCCTCCTTCATTAGTGATCAACTCCAGTGGCAGCCTCACAAAAAAAGGAGACTGCCCAGGGTGGCACCCGCTGACACTGGGAGCTGTAGTTCTAAGCATCCTTCCTTTCTCCTCAGGACTCCACGCTGGGACCTTTCTTCCTGCAATCTCTCTCTCAACTTGTGGGTTTTTTTATTTGCTATCTGATGTCGTTCTAAGTAAAGAAAAATTAAAATTTTAAATTATTACCATGAATTTTAGCATTTATCTTTAGACTGTGCAATGCCAGTTTTAGATACAAGTCAAAGCTATATTAACTGCTGTGCAGAATCTCTGAAAAATCACAGAATTTGCATTTCATAGCTCACATATGCATATGTATTTAATTTTTTACCAGCGCAGTGTAAATGCCACACACACACACACACCCCAGACCAAATGGTTTTCTTCTACTTCTTGATACGCACACATTCTACCAATACTCCCTGTCTTTGGCATGCTGATCATAGGACAGCACAAAAAGACAATGACCTGTGGGCTGTCTTAGCTCTGCTTTCCCTCTGTGTCATCTTTTGAGCATAAGCGATTGGCTACTACAGAGAAGTAACATAGGTAAGAAAAGATACGCGAGAGTTCTTTGGTTGATGATGTTTCTTAAAACACCCCTGCCTTCCTTCTGCATTCAAAACAGCTTTGGTTTGAACAGAAGGGGTAGCATATCGGGGTTGTCAGCTCCCCACTTACATGGTCATGGATGCCACATGCTTACGTTGTACAGGAGTCCTGCTAAATTCCAATGCACCTCAGGTCTGCCAGCATTCTGTGCTTGGGGCAGCCTGTGAAGGGACAGCAAGAGCTATGAACATCCATATTGCACCAGTCTCAGCTCACGACCTGCTCCATTGTCCCATCAGACTTCAGACTAACCTGAAGGCTTTGGGTTTCCTTTTGTGCTGCAACCGCATTTATTCTAAAAGATTCTAAATACACATTATTTTGCAGACCTGCTTTCATCTAGTTAATTTGAATCTGTTCCATGTTGTCTTTCCAGGTCTGCAAAATCTATAGGATCGCTCTCAGATATACCTATGAAATATAAGTTTTACATCACAGTAAAATGAGTTTCTTAGACCTCCAGGAATAACAAATAGGAAAAAATTTCCTAACAAATAAGTCCAGTTTACAAAACACATGTTCAAAGATAAAATTAGTAAGAATTTCAAGATGGTAACAGCAGAGAGTAAAAGCAAGGTTAAGGCCCTCTCGAGGACAGGCACTGCCGGCTGTCGGGTCACACATGCTCCTGAAGCCAGCCCTGCCCCACGGCCTCTTCTCCTGCCATGCTGGCCCCTGCGGGTCCTGGGTCTCACCATGTTCCTTCCTGCTACAAGGCCCTAGGCATCTGCTACAAGGCCTTCCTGCTACTAGGCCCTAGGGAAGCTCGGTCCCCTCCCTGGTGGCCTAGGTGTGTTCCCCTCCTCCTGTGATCCCAGCTAAGCTGTCAAGTCCTTAGGTTAGCCCCTCCTGCCCATGAGCAGGTCAGAGCTCTCTTGGCGCCGTGTAGCTCTCTTTCAGTTACGCCTCAGCATCACCACTCTTCATTCAGGTGTGGTTACCTGGCGGCTTATTTCCCTCCACTGGACAGCCGGCAGCTCACAGGCCAGGGCTGGTTCTGGTTCTGCCCATCATTGTTTCACCAGTGCTGGGCTCATAGTGTCTAATAAATATTTACAAGGTGAATGAATGGATGAGTAAATGAATAACTCAAGTGTCAGGTGGAGGTGGGATAAATGAGGATGGCATGAATTGTAGGTTTTGTTCAAAGCTGGCTCAATCCTGTCTCCATCTAAGCGGGGGCGAAATTAGGTGAGCCCCACATGGCCCTAGTTCACTCGACTGTCTTCTGCCGGGTACTGAGTCTTCAGGTTTGGGTGTGCCTCTATTTTAAGGTACCCAAATCATTTTCTTTGTGTCTCTAGGCCTAGCACAGTGCCTGGTACCTACTTGGTTCTCAAAAAGTACTGGTTCTATTGAACTGAATTGATCTGCTTTGAGTTGAATGAAAATATGTTGGCCCAAGGCTTACTTTATTATACCCACTCCTTTTATCTCCTTCCCCGCCTCCTTCAGCTCTTCTTCTTTCCTCTCCTTTCCTCTTGTTAAGGATTTCTGAGCCTTGAGAACTACTTTAGTTGTGATCCAATGTTTCCAACAGAGAATTACCCTCATTTATTTTCACTTTGACGCGAGTCTTCAAAGAGAAATGGCCCAGTTGTTCTTATAATCGTGCATTGGTTGGGCGCCCAAGGGAGTCCCAAGCGAAGAGAAGCAGTCTCACACTTTGGCTGGTAATACTCCTATATTGGCATTGATCTTGGGATAGAACCACAAGGCAGGCATTAAGAAGTCCATCCATTCAACCCTAGCCAATTCAGAGCAGAAATTAAACTTGAGACTCAAATAGGCTTGGCCTCCTGCCCTGAGCTGCAGAGCCAGCCCTGTCGGCAAGGCTGTACAGAGATGCAGGCCGAGCCTGAGCAACAGCGGTGGTGGCAACCCAGACCTCTCGTTAGAGCCTCATCCAGCAACCTGTCTGTCTTGCCCATTATTACACAACTACATCTGAGAAATGGCCAGGAGGGATGCAGTGAAAACGGAGCATTCATTATGAAATTGAGGATCAATGAAATAATAAAAAACAAAAGCCTAAAGGTAAGATTGGTATTGATTGACCATCTCAGAAAACATTGTTAGTAAGAAGAGATCAGGGCATGCCTCCTATATTACATATATATACATAAAATGGGGGCTTTCTCTCCTGAGTGAGACTTGAATGGGAATATAGGACATGGCTGGAAGCAATCCCTGAGGAGGTCTGCTCAGAAGTTATGCAGCTGCTTGGAGACCTTCCATTCTGGTAGAAAGAGCATGGGTTTAGGAAGCAGCCATACCTGAGTTGTAAACCAACTTTAGCTCTGTGACCTTGAGCAAGTAATAATGTCTCTGACTCTTCTTTGATTTGTACAAATTGGAATAAAACACCTGCCTTGCAGGTTTATTATGAAGACTGAGTGAGATCCCTTGGGTGGAGGTGCAAGCTCAGTGCCTGGCACAGAGCAGCCTGCAGTCATGTCATCGCCTATCCTCACAGTATCGGTGCTTTGGAACAGCTGGAAAGGGCTTGGACTAGACTGAGGCTAGCAGGTGCCCCACTGCCCTCAGAGTGAGGGCCCTGTAAACTGTGCACCCCAGGAGCCTCACCCCTGCCCAGCAGTGCAGCTGGGGCAATGTCATCCAGGGTTGAGGCATCTCAGGGCAGTGTTCCTCCCCTCAGCATCACCTCCCAGGCCATTTGACAGGTGACACAGTTGAGACCCACAGAATCAATGTAATTTGACTAAATCAGCCAGTAAGTGGCAAACTGGGAACGTGCATCCAGGCCTCTGGGCTCTAAGCCTGTTTTACTCCCCAGCAGCCTGTAGCTCAACTCTCCGGGGCCACTGTCATGCGACGTGTCTGCACCCCTTTGCACTGTGAATAGTTCTTTTGAACGTCCATCACCATATTGTGTCTCCATCAAGTCTGTAAGGTCCCTCAGTCCAGGAAGGGAACATGTCTCATAATTTCAGCACTTTCTAGGCACTTACACTACAGGGCTTACTTGCAGTTGGATCCAAGAAATAAATATTCATCAATTGAGAAAAAGATATTTTCATGGCCTTATAATTTTAATGCAGAGGAACAGTTACAATACACATGAACCCAGCTGAGGGAGAGAAACGCATTAATTTCACAACATGTTCAGCTCTTTAAGAAGTTAGCTTTCCAGGCTCCATGGGGATTCTGGAACCACAGACTCGCTCCCACTGTTGTGAGAGAAAAATTGCAACTCGGAGTGGCGCCCATCTCCCCGCAGGGAAGCAGTGGGTGGAGAGACATAAAGGAGGGGTGTGGGCGGAGGATGGGGGTGCCGCAGCAATGTGGGGTGTTTAAAGCAGGAACAAAATACAAAGAAGAACAGGGCCTCTCAGATTTAGTGAGCTGGGGACTCCATTAAAATGCAGGTTCTGACTCAAGAGGGCTGGGTGGGGCCCAGGAGCCAGTATTTCTAACAAGTCCCCAGGGGTTGTGCGTGCTGCTGGTTCACAGACAGACTTTCAAGTAGCGGGGATGTTGTCAAGGGATGAAAGAATTGAAAGCTTTGGCCTTTTTCTCCTTCCTTCTGCAGTGATTTTGACCATGGGCCAAGTCCTTCATCTCAGACTGGGCAGAGGGCAACTAGGAACCTGCTAGGAGAAGTGGCAAACAGGGATGATCAGCCAGCTCCCTGGCATGATGATGCTCCCTTTATTTCTACCAGATTTATTTGATGGGTGACATTCTATGCATGAAACACTTCAATTTTACTATCCATGAAATGAACACATTGGTCTGGATCTCTGGAGGCCTCTTCTGGTTTGACAATTCTCAGTGTGGGGGAAGCTGACTAGAGGTTTTGAGTTTGCAAATCCAGCCCAATAGTAGCTCTGACTTCAGTCTGGCAACTCTCAGGGTCCCCACTCATTATCTCCTGTCCTTCTGCAGGGGAAATTTGTGCATTCAAGATCCATGGCCAGGAGCTGCCCTTTGAGGCTGTGGTGCTCAACAAGACCTCGGGAGAGGGCCGGCTCCGTGCCAAGAGCCCCATTGACTGTGAGCTGCAGAAGGAGTACACATTCATCATCCAGGCCTATGACTGTGGCTCGGGGCTCCGGGAGACAGCCTGGAAGAAGTCACACAAGTAAGTGGCTGACAGAGCTCCCTGGGCCCTTCTCACCTTGGCCCACCGTCCCACTCACACACTGCTGTTCAGTCTGTGTGCCCAGTGGTCACACCACACACTCCAGCCTGCTTGCCAGTCCCCGGGTCCCTGCGGGCATCGGCACAGACCGATTCCTCTGCCTGGGAGGCTCTTGTCCACCATCAGGACTGAGCTCAGGTGGCCCTTCTTGCGGGAAGCCTTCCCTAAGCCAGCCCATCCCTGCAGACCCGGTGGGGACTCTGCCACCTGCTTCTGTCTGAGACGGCAGTTTTCATTTTGGGTATCTAAATCTCTTCCTTGTGGAGTTTGGCTCAGAGCCTAACAAAGAGAAGCGTGGTTCAATTTGTACTGACTGGAGGAGTGAATCACCAGGGGAGGAATGAATAAAAGAAAGAGGAGGTGCTCTAGAAAAGTACGTTGCCTAAAGCTGGGTAACAGGAAGGACAGAGAAGGGGAGGACTCATTCCAGAGGGCTGGGCAAGGACAGGTAGAGGGGTCACCAGTAGGAGGGAGGACAGAACACTTGACAACACCCTCTCTGACTGGCCTGTGGCTTCTCCGCTGTCTTGACCTTGGGACCTGGTCAGTGACCGTGAGTGTACAGGAGGTGGTGTGATTCTTTCTTTACCACCGTCTCTTCCTTCTTGTGTGTGATCCCAGAGCCGTGGTCCACATCCAGGTGAAGGATGTCAATGAGTTTGCTCCCACCTTCAAAGAGCCTGCCTACAAGGCTGTCGTGACAGAGGGCAAGATCTACGACAGCATCCTGCAGGTGGAAGCCATCGACGAGGACTGTTCCCCCCAGTACAGCCAGATTTGCAACTATGAAATCATCACAACTGACGTGCCTTTTGCCATTGACAGAAACGGTGAGTGACCTGGGGACCCCAGTGGGGACAGGGAGACAAGTCCACCCTCCAAAGGCCAAGTGAGGCCTCTGAATGTACCTGGCAGGTGACACCTCCCTGGCCACCCTGATCAAGCTTTGTAACTCCGAACTCGCTCCTGCATTAGAAGGAATGGCCTGACAGTATTAGCAGCCAGCGAGGTCTAAAATCCCCCCAGGACTCCTCAGAAACCTACTCAGTGAATACAGCCTATAGAGCTCACAATGCCACACATCTGGATACAGGAAACAAGTCGGTTTTCATCCAGATGTGAGCCATGCCATCAATTTGGCTGTATCTGAGTCTCTTTCCTATATGACAAGTTATAACATGATCCCCCACCACAACAATCTGGTTCCTGTTCTCAGACAAAGAGATGCTAAAGGAGGAGATGCAGATTTTTGAAACACTGACTAAGCTGTAGATCCATTTGGGAAGCTTTAAAGCACTTGCCAGTGTCCTTTGAAAATTTCTACCCTAGTGAGAATGAAGAATGAATGAAGTGTCCCACCATACCCCAATCCCAAACTGAACTCACTGAACTGAAAACAGCCCACTAGACCCTTTGAATATTGCTCCATTGCCATTAATAAAAACTCATTATAGTGTAAGCTCCCCAGCCAGAGGCCCAATCAACTCAGCCTACTTTAATAATTTTCAGTAACGTGATGTTAACCAAATGATAATTATTTGCCAGGTATATTGTTTGAATATCAGCATAAGTTTGTGGGTATATGTATATTATCCCCACTTTGTTTCAAGTAGGATTCAAGTGCTGTGCAAAGATGCAAATATTGCAAGACCTGTAGAGTGGAACTCAAAACAGACATTGGCTTGCCCACATGGAGCTTATCATCTAGTGGGAAAAAAAATCAAGATCCAAAGTAGAAAGTCTTGTGACATCAAGGGTGAGGTTGGTGCACAAAGCATGTCATGAACCAGAGTTAGGCAACAAATTAGCTCTGGGCTCCTGGTAGGCAGTGCCTAAAGAGAAAGACTATCAATTGCCTGCTTGCACACCTTCAGTACTTCCAGTGCTTCTTGATGTTGAGGCCAGGGAGAAGTTCACCCTAAAATATAGTCTTCTGCATCCTAAGAACTGTAGCAGGTTCCACAGGGGATGCAAACCTAGAAGACACCTTCACCTCTCACTCTGGTAGCTTGAGATCTGTCTTGGAAGATGAAACCAATATTCATAAAACAGACAAAATACTAATAAGACAGTTTCCTTATAAAAGCAGGTGTGGAAATGACAGTTATGTACCAGGGTACTGCTAGGTGCTAATTGTGTAGGACCCAAGGTGAGTGCACAAGAAAGTAAAGGAGAAAATACTGGACTTTCATTAATATTTGGTTCAGAACTAAAAAGTAAGTGATTTTAATTAGTAAAGCCTGTCAGAACTGCCTTCTGATAGCCTTTCCTACAGGCCCTGTGATATCCTTGGCTTGGCCCCTGCCACACACACAGACACATATCACATGCATACAATATAAAACAACTGTTTTATATTTTTCTGTTTCCCTGTGGCCTATGTCCACAGTAGTTTTGGAAGTTGGGAAGTGACATGTCCTTGGTGGAGAGTGAGACTAGACAAGTGAAGGTGTCTGATGAGCAGTCAAGCTCCACTTGACCTCCTGCCTTTGTTCTAGAGCCACAGCCCAACAAGAGATGAGATACAAATTCTATCATCCCAGGGTAAAATACCCCAGTCATGAAGATAATTACTCACCTTGATGAGCCATTTCACTAACATATGCCAATTTATTTCCCTAGCTGTCTCATTAAAAGTGAGTAATGGTCGTTTGCCAGGCCTCTGCCTCCAACATTGGTTTACAAGATAAGATGGAGAAGAGAGTGGGCTCTCCTAGAGAGCATGGGCTCCCAACAGTGAGGTTTACAAAAGCAGTTCTCCAAGTAATGAAGGCAGGACCCGGGGGCAGACTCAGAAGCAGCTCCCATTCTAATGAGCTTCTCAGTTGGCCCTTATCCATCACTTGTCCCAGAGACCTTCCTAGCTCCTTGAAGAAGCTCTTTGCATGCACATCAGAGAAAGTCCTGCTGGGTTTGGAGTCTGCTCGCTGAGGCCCACTGACTTTGGGAAGATGGCTCCTGACCACTTCCACCTCTTGTGGGGGAGGCCGGGAGCAGGGCAGCAGAGAGGATAGAAGTCATCATGTGGAGTCAGCCTGAGCTCTCTTAACTCAAGATTCAATCTCTTCCTACCAGGTGGCCTCACCCCCACTCCCGTTAGATCCCTTCGCTGTGAAATCATGGCAGCATCAAGGCCTGCTTCATTGTGTGAGGCAGGTCTCAGCAGAGAAGGGACCACAGTTCCCAGGGTACCTGGCAGTTGGGAAGTGCACCACCCACAGTGATTATTAGGCATTTATCTGGGTGATGGGACATGAAGGTTGTTCACTCTTCATGGTTTTCCAGGCTGAAACTTTGAGCAGGTACCTAAGTGAGTGGTGACATCAGCTCCCTCTTGGGAAGTTCTGAACCCACTTCAGATGGCTTCCAGTCCCTGATCTTCTGGAAGCTGGTTGGTGTTTTGCCAGTGGGTTTCAGCCCCAGGCAAATTCACTCATGATTTGGTGAGACCAAAAAATGACAATGAAATGCTCTTGGGGTGAAAGGGTTTATACCCAAGTTTATTCCCATGGTGGCAGGTCAAGCACTAGAATCCCTTCCACTCAAGAACAGGTGTGCATGCAGCAAGCCGGTCCCTGCCTCTGGGCCTCTCTGCCACCACAGCCATCCTAGTCTCTGTCCTCAGCGCTGCGACCACTCCAGCCTCTGCTCTCCTGCAGCTGGGCAGCCCAGAGCACTGGGCGGAGCTCTTTATATACATTCAGTAAAGACGCATTGCCCACACATGTGTAGTGAGCAAGCCAATCAAAGCCAGGTAAGGATCCTAGCCGTAAGAACTTTCATTTTCTCTATAGCTAGTCTCTCTGGAATCAGTGGGGCCTAGATCCTCATTTCCATTGAAGAGATGGAAAAACTGAGTCTTAAAGCATAAAGAGCTTGGCTGACAGCACCTGTCACTCTATGGCAGAGTTGGTACTGGAGCCCAGTTCCCCTGAGAGTTGGTCCCAAGGCCTTTGCACCTGGGAAAGTAAAATCACTGTCCTCGGTGAGAACTGACAGGAATGCATGGCGATGGTATTTAAGTTCAAAAATACAAAGTTGTGTCTTAAGGCTCCATCCATTACTGTGTGTGTGTGTGTGTGTGTGTGTGTGTGTGTGTGTGAGAGAGAGAGAGAGAGAGAGAGAGAGAGA